CAGGATCCTAATCTTGTCTCTGTCTTTCCAGGAAAACCTGATCTTCCTTCGTGAAGCTCTGGAAGAGCTTAACCCACCGAGCCTGCCCTCAGAGCCAAACCTGAAGACTTCCCCTGGATTCTCTTGCGGCTCTGGACCAAGAGCTGGAAATCCAAAGTCAAGGTCAGCAACCTTTCTAGAAGCAAGACGCTGAAGCAGCTAACGGACTCAGCTAATCAGACTCTCTCCAGTTCCAACAACCTTCCTCTCCAAGATCCATTCAAGGACCCACAAGGTACAAACCAGAGACTATCAAAGGACAAACCGCTAAGAGCCCAGCTAACTAACTGTCTTCCTCACAGACTCCGGTGAACCCGTTTGCCCAGGACCAGAACCAGAACATTCTATCTTTAGATTGTATTCAATAAACTCTGTTAACTTTTCATCTGTTTCCTGTGTCGTGGTGTTCTGCATAATTGGGTCACATTCGTGTACCGATCATGACAGAACACTGCGGCCAAACACAAGGCCCAGCAGACCACCTCCGTCGTCTATTGGAAGAACGGGAGGTTCAAATCCATGGACATGTTCAAGCTCTCAGTGAGTTAAACACCCACATAGAGTTACAAGACCAAGTAATCCAAAATTTTGCTAACCGCTTGAACAGTGCTAATGCCACACCGGCAGCGCAACCATTTCCGGGTCCAGTTCCCCCTCCGAGGTCACCAGCAGTAACGTAATCAGAGTTCCGCCTAAGCCTTCCTGAAAAATTTTCGGGTAATATGAAGGAATGCAGAGGATTTTTATTTCAGTGCAGATTATTGTTCCAGAACTCTCCCAACAATTTTTCGACGGACTTTAAGAAAGTAACCTTTATTCTCTCTCAACTAACAGGAAGAGCTTTGGAGTGGGCCCAGGCCAGATTTCCCTCAGATGAAAGTCTCAACTGCCGATACTCTGATTTCATTTCTGAGTTCTCCCAGGTTTTTAATCAAGAAACTGATCAAACTATTGACTCTCGTGCTCTTTTCAGTATTAAGCAGGGAAATTCATCTGTGGCTGATTTTTCGATCAACTTCCGGGTTAAGGCAGCAGCTTCCGGATGGAATCAAAGCGCTCTGAAGGGAGCTTATTTTATGGCCTTAAATGAGAATATAAAAGACGAACTGGCAACTCTCGACGAGCCAGCCTCCCTTGAGGATCTAATCAAACTAACTATTAGATTGGACAACAGAATTAGAGCCAGAAACAGCTCCAAGATAAGAAATTCTGGGTCTCATGCCTCTACATCTGCTTCAAATATTATGACTGTTGCTTCTCCTCCCACAGAGCGACCAAAAGCCCAGTCTCTCCCTCTGCCTGTTCAGGCTTCACATTCTGATGGTATGGAGGTCGAACCTATGCAGGTGGGACACACTCGGCTTACTCCTGAGGAGAGACAAAGACGTTTTTTGAGCAGACTTTGCATCTATTGTGGTGAAAGTGGACATTTCATTGCTTCCTGCCCGGCTAAATCAAAAGGCAGGGCCCGCCAGAGGATCTGAGGAGTCTGGCGGGCCAAACCAACTCTAAGAAATCTCCTCGATTGATGCTTCCTGCCACTTTGTTTTGTGATAATCAGAACCTCTCCTTTTCTGCCTTTATTGACTCAGGCTGTGAACGGAACCTCATAGACTCTAACCTTGTTCAACAGTTGATGATTGAAACTGTTCCCCTTTCTCAACCTCTCCGTGTCTCTGCCATTGATGGGAAAAATCTCCACCAAGTAACTCATCAAACTCAACCCCTCGAGCTCCTCCTCTCAGGTAACCATCGTGAAACTATCACATTTTTTGTCATTCCCTCCGCATGTTCCCCGTTGGTGCTCGGATTCGAATGGCTGGAGAAACACAATCCACGCATTAATTGGACTGAACGTCACGTGGAAGCATGGTCTACGTCATGCCATGAGACTTGTCTTCGGTCGGCAGCCCCCGTGGTGGGGCCTCCTAGAGGGGGGGGAGAGATGGACTCTCCTGACCTATCTTCAGTTCCCTTTGAGTACCATGACTTGGCCCCGGTCTTCAGTAAGGTCAGTGCTACGTCCCTTCCACCACATAGACCATATGACTGTGCAATTGAGTTGTTACCTGGACCACCGTTACCCAGCAGCCGTTTATATAACATCTCCAAACCAGAACGAGAGACAATGGAGAAGTATATTAACGAGTCTTTAGCTGCTGGAATTATTCGTCCGTCCTCTTCTCCTTTGGGTGCTGGTTTCTTTTTTGTTGGCAAGAAGGATTGTTCATTAAGACCATGCATTGACTACAGAGGGTTGAACCAAATCACTATAAAGAATAAGTACCCTCTACCTCTCCTAGCCTCAGCTTTTGAACCAGTTCAGGGGGCAACAGTCTTCACCAAACTGGATCTGAGAAACGCATATCATCTCCTCAGAATCAGAGAAGGTGATGAATGGAAGACTGCTTTCAAGACACCATTAGGTCAGTTCGAGTACCTGGTGATGCCTTTTGGTTTAACAAACGCCCCCGCCTGCTTTCAAGCACTAGTGAATGATGTTCTCAGAGATTTTTTAAATGTGTTTGTCTTTGTCTATATAGACGACATACTCATTTATTCACGGAACTTAACTGATCACAAGAAACATGTCCGCCTGGTGTTACAGAGGCTACTGGAGAACAAGTTATTCGTCAAGGCAGAAAAATGTGAATTCCACCAACCATCAGTGACCTTTTTGGGGTTTGTGCTCGAGGGCGGGCAGGTTAAGCCTGCTGAGGACAAGATAAAGGCGGTATTGGACTGGCCGATTCCTGAAACTCGAAAACAGCTTCAAAGGTTTTTGGGGTTCACCAATTTTTACCGTCGTTTCATTAGAAATTATAGCCAGACGGCTCAACCTCTGACCTCTTTAACTTCGGTTAAGAGGAATTTTCAATGGACTCCCGAAGCTCAGGCTGCTTTTGACAAACTGAAGTCATTGTTTTCCAGAGCACCGGTGTTAATTCAGCCTGACCTTTCTAAACAGTTCATCCTCGAGGTTGATGCTTCGGATTCTGGCGTCGGAGCCGTCCTTTCCCAGAGACTCGACTCAGATCAAAAGATTCATCCATGTGCTTTTTTCTCTCGCAGACTCTCATCAGCAGAACAGAACTACGGTGTTGGAGATCGAGAACTATTAGCCATTAAGTTGGCGTTGGAGGAGTGGAGACACTGGTTAGAGGGAGCTGAGCACCCGGTTCTAGTCTGGACTGACCACAAGAACCTTGCTAGCATCCAGTCTGCCAAACAGGCCAATCCTCGTCAATCCAGGTGGTCCATTTTCTTCTCCAGATTTAATCTCGTTATCTCCTACAGACCCGGATCAAAGAATGTGAAACCAGACTCCCTCTCGCGCCTATACTCCGTCGATCAACCCGAGACACCAGAGCCAGTCCTCCCGGCCTCTTGTACTGTGGGAGTCGTGAATTGGGAGATCTCCGATCTCATTAACTCCGCCCTGGCCACGGAACCCGACCCAGGTAACGGTCCGGCTAACAGAACTTATGTCCCGTCTTCCGTCAGGTCCAGGCTCATTCAATGGATGCACACTGCCAAATTCTCGGCCCACCCTGGAGTCAGTAGAACCATCGCTCTCATCACCAGACGCTTCTGGTGGCCCACTCTCCACAGGGATGTAAAGGAATGTGTGCTGGCCTGCCCCATTTGTGCTAGAAACAAGGCCTCGCATCAGCCACCCTCTGGTCTGCTTCAACCTCTTCCGATCCCTTCACGTCCATGGTCCCACATTGCCATAGATTTCGTCACTGGTCTCCCCGTCTCTCGAGGTATGTCCACAATACTCACCATCGTTGACCGTTTTTCCAAGTCCTGTCATTTAGTCCCTCTCAGGAAGCTCCCCTCGGCGTTCCAGACTTCTCAGCTTCTCGTGAAACACGTCTTCAGATTACATGGCATCCCCCAGGAAATCCTATCAGACCGTGGTCCTCAATTTATCTCTCAAGTTTGGAAAGCCTTCTGTTCAGCTCTGGGTTGTAAGTCTGCTTTGACTTCAGGTTATCATCCACAATCCAACGGTCAGACCGAGCGCATGAACCAGCACCTTGAATCCACCCTCCGCTGCCTAACTTCCAACAACCCCACCGACTGGAGCCAGTATCTCCCTTGGATTGAGTACGCCCATAACTCCCAGAGATCCGCTTCCACCGGCCAGTCACCATTTCAGGTCAGTCATGGACAGTGTTGCCACAGTTACTTTGAAACAGTAATCCGACTACTGACTACTGACTACCTCTTTAAAAAGTAACTTAGTTAAGTTACTGATTACTTGCTTTTAAAAGTAACTAAATGAGATTACTTTTAGTTACTTTCAGCAGATCCCCGGCCCAGCCCTATAACATGAAAATGACCACCAGTTCTGCCAATACTCACTTTATTGACTCCAACATTTGCAAACATTTTCTGGAAATAGGCTTACTTGTTTTTTAAATGAAGAATAAATAAAAGACAGTCTTTCTTGACTTTACTTAAAATATCTTTTTCAAAAAACTCTTACAAATAAAAGTAGTACATAGGCTTAATATCCCCCCCTCCTTCAGGATAAATGAATGAACATGTAGGCCTATATTGAACATCACATTGAACCTGTAGTTGTCTAACATTAGAGCAGCAAAAATTGGTTTTAGGGAAATAAAACCATATTAAAAAAAAAATCAAAATACTCTTCACTATATTTAACTGAAATACTTATTACAAATAAAACGGTTTTGTTGACTCCCTTAAATCCAACTTAAATACTTCCTATAAAAAATAAAGTAGCTTTTCTTGGCTCAATTTGACACAAACACTTCTTTAAACAAAAACAAAATACAATAGACATTCTTGACTCCATGCATTTAACTCTGATTGAATTTATCTGTATGAATTACTGTAACACTGAAGTTATATTTAACATTTTAATGAACCTGTAGTTGTCCCACATTAGAGCAGCAAGGAGTTTTACAAAAAAAATCAAACCTGTATCTGTATTCATGACTTCACTTAGTTGTATTTATGCAAGGAACTGTGGGGTGGGGCAGGTAAACCACTGATTGTACCTCATTAACAGAAGCTTTTCAAACCTCTGGTCAGACAGTCTATTTCTTCTTGGCGTGAGTACCAAACCCTCCAGACTGAAGAGACGCTCCACAGGAGCACTGGATGGGGTTGGAGTGTTATACTTCATGAAGATCTTCTTGATGTTTGTAAACTGATGCAGGATCTGCAGATCATGGGATGAGCTCAGGTAGTTCATGACCTCCTTTTCTGCAGAGTAGGTCTCCTCTGGCTCTGCCTCAAAATTGAAGAAGTCCATCTCACCCTGGGTGACAACTGTGTTGGCCACACTGGCAGAGCTCTGTATTGGAGGAGCAGTTGCGCGGCATTCTTCGGTTAGAAGCTGTTTGACTTGCTCCCTCCTATCGGCATCTCTCAGCCACCTGAGTTTGAATTTTGGGCAGCTCACAGCTGCTAGAAGGGCATCTCTGTCTTGCAGGAGATCACCAAACCGGGTCTTGACCGCCTGAAAAATAAAAATAAATTGCTATGTTTAGGATACGTGCAATAACCTGTCTGTCTGTGTTTCTGTTTCTCTTTTCATTTTTTTCTCTTTTGTGCTGTGATGTAAATATCCCATTTGTTTGTGTATGTGTATTTATTTATTTATTTATTTATTAATTCATTTATTTTTTTTATTAAATAGCACACTGTTGAACATAATATTGGCATAAGTGAGCATTTTGACTCTCATTGTGAATGTGTATAGTGTTAAGTGGAATAGCTTAAACGTGGATCATACCTGCACTATAGCATCTGGAAGGCCTGCGGTCATGGTGGAAAGGGCATCTTTGACAGCCAGGGTCCTCTGCATCAGGACTTCCAGTGTTGGTAATAAAGTTCCATAAGGACAGTCTGCTTGGAGAATGTCCAGAGCCACAGTCAGGGGCTTTGTGGCCGTGCAGTATTCATTAAGGAATTGGTATTCTCTCTCTTTGAAGCATTTCACTCCCAGCTTTGTGCACAGAGTATTCAGCTCATTCATGGGGATTTCTGTAACCCTCTTCAAAGCATCAAAAAATGAGTTCCACCTTGTGGAGGTTGGTACCAGGAGCTTTCTTCTACTGACTTCCTCTACTGCCTCTGATGCGCTGGTGGACCTACTTGCTTTTGTCCAAAGAGCTGAGCATTTTGCTGTGCTGCTCCTGTAAACAACCTTAATGTCCGCATTAGATGTTAAATATTTTTCCACATCGTTTGTGGAAATTAGGTTGATTGTGTGGGAAGCACACCTGTGGTGTGGAGGAAGCACAATCTGCGCCTCAGCATCACTTTCATGCTCAGCTGACAAGAGTTCTGCCATAGGTAAAAACGTGACGTCATCATCGGGGTTTGGCTCTTCCTCCATCTCATCATCGCTAGACACAGCCTGGTAAACTCGAAACGCCTTAACAAAGTTCGAGCCGTTATCTGTCACTGTTGCAACCACCTTGTTCCCAATCCCATACGCCGAGTGGATGTCTTCAATTTCTTGTCCAATTACGTCATACGTGTGTCTCCCTCGCACTCTTCTGCATGCTAAAGCGGCCTTTTTACGTTCTAACGTGTCTTTACTAAGCCAGTGTAATGTCACCCCCGATGTAACTTTTATTGTTAGCTGTCCAAATATCAGCTGTTGTTGACACAAAATCGACCTCATGTAGCGCAGCCTTCAGATTTTTTTCCATCGCTTCATATTGTTTGTCCAGGTAACTAGAAAAGCATGTTCTGTGAGGCAGCTCGGTATCATTACTGGTAGGGATCTTAGATATGATGGCTCGAAACGATGGTGAGTCCACAGTATTCACAGGCAGCATTTCCTCGACCACATAATGCCCAACCATCCTGTTCAACTCCGCCCCACTTACTGGTTTTACACCGAAATCCAGCTTCCTCTGCTTGCTGGGTCTGGGACCTCCTTCACCTGTGTCTTTTGCGGGTGGGACTTGCTCCGTTAGCTTCGTTGTGCTGTGCTGTTTCTCCAGATGTTTTTTTAGGTTTGATGTCGTGTTTTTGAATGTAGACAACACTCTGTCACCAGCGCAAAGTGTACAACGGACCTTAATGTTGTCATCCTTAACCGAAATAAAATCAAAATAATGCCTGTATTTCCAGCTGCTAAAGGCGGACTTCTCTCCTTCCATGTTCATTGTTCACATCACATCTGATCTGACGAGATAGAATCTTTGATTTGATTTTGGCGCCGCGGAACAGATATGACGTACCTCGTAGATAGACAAAAAAAAAAAAGAAAAGAAAAAATGTATATTAGACCTAAATAACCCGCGCAGTAGTAACGCATGGTGTTTTATAAAAGTAACTTTAATCTGACTACTAGTTTTGGAATAGTAGTTGCGTTAGATTACTCGTTATTGAAAAAAGTAGTCCGACTACAGTAATGCGTTACTAAGTAACGCGTTACCGGCAACACTGGTCATGGATACCAACCACCACTTTTTCCCGCAGATGAAAAGGAGATATCTGTCAGGACCATCAACCAACACATCCGCCGCTGTCAAAGGATTTGGAAGGAAACCATCACTACCCTCAACAGATCATCAGAAACCACCAAACGTTTTGCCGACTCTAAGAGACGTCCCGCTCCTGAGTACACCATCGGACAGGAGGTATGGCTGTCTACCCGGGACATTCCCCTCAAGGGAATGTCTCGGAAACTGTCTCCCAGATTCATCGGTCCGTTTAAGGTTTCCCAGGTCATCAGTCCCTCCGCAGTCCGTCTCCAGCTACCTCCGAGTCTACGCATCCATCCCACCTTTCATGTATCTCAGGTCAAGCCCGTAGTCTCTAGCCCTCTGTGCCCGCCATCCGACTCCCCTCCACCCGCCCTGGAAGTCGATGGTCATCCTGCATTTACCGTCCGTCGCATCGTGGACTCCCGTCGGCGAGGTCGCGGCTGGCAGTACCTCGTCGACTGGGAGGGCTACGGACCTGAAGACCGTCAGTGGGTTCCCGGCTCTTACATCCTCGATCCTTCCCTGATCGAGGAGTACGAGCGTTCCTGCCCATCTACTTCCTCCGGACCGCCAAGGGGCGGTCGTTGAGGGGGGGTACTGTTGGAGGCTGGAGAAGTACCTCTCTTCTCCAGCAGAGTCCGCCGTGGATCCTCCTGAGCAGAGCCCTCTGCACAGCTGCTGCTCGTTACCATCATCAGGAGGACCCACTACTTAAGCTGTCTTCAGACCTTGCCTCAACGCCGCAGTGTTGAGCCAGTTGGTTAGCACCTAAGCCCAGAACCTCTGAGAACTTTGCTTGCTCTGAGATCCTGAAAGGATCCTAATCTTGTCTCTGTCTTTCCAGGAAAACCTGATCTTCCTTCGTGAAGCTCTGGAAGAGCTTAACCCACCGAGCCTGCCCTCAGAGCCAAACCTGAAGACTTCCCCTGGATTCTCTTGCGGCTCTGGACCAAGAGCTGGAAATCCAAAGTCAAGGTCAGCAACCTTTCTAGAAGCAAGACGCTGAAGCAGCTAACGGACTCAGCTAATCAGACTCTCTCCAGTTCCAACAACCTTCCTCTCCAAGATCCATTCAAGGACCCACAAGGTACAAACCAGAGACTATCAAAGGACAAACCGCTAAGAGCCCAGCTAACTAACTGTCTTCCTCACAGACTCCGGTGAACCCGTTTGCCCAGGACCAGAACCAGAACATTCTATCTTTAGATTGTATTCAATAAACTCTGTTAACTTTTCATCTGTTTCCTGTGTCGTGGTGTTCTGCATAATTGGGTCACATTCGTGTACCGATCATGACAATTACTTATTTTTTTTCCTACTTCCGACTTCTACTCATTACATTTTCACACAAGTATCTGTACTTTCTATTCCTTACATTTTTAAAACAAACGTCACTCGTTACTCTTGGCTTCGGTTTAATGTTTATAAATATTTATTTCATGTCATATGCGCCATCCAATGCAGATAATCTGTGCCATCCACATCTAGTGAAAACTAGTGTAATTGGATGAGTCATATAATGCAAACACTCATTGGTTAGCTATTCGTCAAATTAGTGCTGACGGCGCTAAAGGAAATCCTCAGAAGCAAGCAGGTGTTCTTCAAACTGCAAACGTGAATTCAGAAAAAGATGTTAAAATGTCTAAATTTTTTTGAAATAGTTGAATAATTGAGCTTTCAATTCCTATAGTGGCATCTGGCTGTTTTTTTAAAGGTTACTTTATACTTTTATACTTTAAGTAGTTTTTGGAGCACATAATTTTTCACTTTTACTTGAGTAAAGAGGTCAAGTTGATACTTTAACTTTCACCAGAGTGTTTTCAAACTGCAGTATCTATACTTCTACTTAAGTAACAAATTTGTGTACTCTTGACACCACTGGCAAATAATGATAAAATATCACCAAATCCACAGGGTTTGTTGTTGATGGTGAGAGGAAAAAAACACATTTTAATATTTGCAGGTAAATTAATTTGCTCCTATTTTATGGAGCGGCAACTGATTATTTCAGAGAGCTGAAATATATGGTTCCCCTCTCATAACTTTGGCAAATAAGGACTAAATGCTACCAAAATGACAGAATATGTTGTTGATAAAGAGAGGAATAAGCACAGTTAAAGATGTGCAGGTAAATCAATTTCATCCAGTGTTATGGAAAGGTAAGACATTATTTCAGGCAGCTTAAATATACATTCTCTCCTCTCATCCTCCCATATCTTTGGGAAATAAAGAGTAACTGTTTCCAAATTCTCAAAAATTGTTGTGTGATAGCGTAGTATACCAGACATTTCCTTAATCCAGTAATCTGTCATATTTTACAATAGAACATGATTTACCAGAAAGTCTACACTCATCTTCCCCATCAGGGCTAAACCCCTGATCTACTGGAATCCTAGATCTGTGCCTGGATAAAACCTTTTTTTGTTGCTTCTTGCACGTATTTGTCTGTCATTGTATTACCTTTTTTCTCCATTATAACTTTCTTTTTTGTGTGTGTATGGTATTTATACTGTAATAAGTTAAAAAAATTCTTAAATATTTGAGTGGCTCTGTTTTATGCAAAATATTTGTATGAAATCTTAATATGCGTTGAGAACTTCAATTGGCAATAGAGGTCAATGCAGGGTATATTTATAAATATGTCTATGACCAAGACCCTATCAATACTGTACAGTTTAGGGAATCTGGCGGGACGCCTTATGAGCCTTCATCTACCTATCATTAGTAAAAGCAGTAATGAGACCAATTTTATCTTAAACCAAGCTGACAACAAACCTGTCAAATATGTGCCAGAACAACTACATGTTCTTTCTTGCTCTGTAACAGACATCCCCGCCTAACAACCCAAAGTTGTTGTGGAAACACATTTGGTTAAAGGAAGTGGCTATGAACCCAAGAACAAAAGTGAAACTGCTTAGCACGTATTAGTTGAGAGAGCAATAGATAAAGGACTAACATTTTAAAAACTGACTACACAGTCTGCACCTTTTTGAGCTTCTCTTCATCATGGCAGGTAAGATACTTGACATTTATTTAGTCTGTTCCAATACACATACAGCAACAGTACTTGTTTTTAACACTGACATTGATATTTTCCTTCATTTTTCTGTGTATTGTCAGATTCTATTGTCTTTAACTCCTACCACCTTTAACTATCATAATATTTTATTAACATTCTGTGGGAGACAAGTATTATCTAGCTATGTTTGGTATTCTTAGGCTTGTTAAAACATTTTTCAAGTAATTCATAAAAACATACTATTTTTGTCATGTTTTTCTATCAGTGGATTCAAAAGAACACACATTTGTTACTTAAGTAGAAGTATAGATACTGCAGTTTAAAAACACTCTGGTAAAAGTTGAAGTATCAACTTGACCTCTTTACTCAAGTAAAAGTGAAAAAGTATGTGCCCCAAAAACTACTTAAAGTATAAAATATAAAGTAACCTTTAAAAAAAAACAGCCAGATGCCACTATATGAATTGAAAGCTCAATTTTACGACTATTTAAAAATATTCTCTGAGATAGGGCGAAGGATGAGGGAGGTCTTGTTGGTCTCCGTCTCCCGATACTCTCTCGCCTGTGTCCGACCTTTCAGACATTTCAACATCTTTTTCTGAATCCTACATTGTAGCATGGCATAGACAATTCAAGTTTGCAGTTTGAAGAACACCTGCTTGCTTCTGATGATTTCCTTTAGCTAACCAATGAGTGTTTGTTATATGACTCATCCAATTACACTAGTTTTCACTAGATGTGGATGGAGCCAATGATCTATATTGGATGGCACAGATGACGTGAAATAAGTATTTATAAAAGTTAAACCAGGGATAAAATCAGCAGGGTCCAAATAAAGAAAATCATCAACCAGTAAAGGTCCGGAGACATTTTTAATTATCTGTTACTTTAAACAGAATTTAACACTGAAATAAAATGAGGTGTTTATGCATTCATGTTATACATTGAATTTTTAAATAAAAAAAAGACAAAAACATAGAAAATTTTTCCATTTTAAAATCCAAAGGGTTCTTTGAAGTAGAGAACAACATTCTTTCAGTTTGGTATATAGACAATTTCCTGATTCACATATTTTATGAAACATCTGAACTCACTGTTTGTTTGTTTTTTTTTTTTTGTTTTTTTATGGCTAAATGAGATCAGTGGGCTTTAGGCTGACCTGCAAGGCTTTAAACCTGGGTTTAAATGGAGACAAAGCCATTCTCAAGCTCATAGCAAGGTGCTCATTTTGAGCCTGGATCTATATTTATTTTTGATTCTGTTCATGGTGGAGAATCCTGCTTCACAGTAGTACGATGAGCCATACTCAAAATGTTCAGGCTCTGCTCTGGTCCAGCCAGGTCAAGATGGTCAAGATGATCCACTATTGCAATCGCACCAAACAAATTACAGCATAATTCTTATAGCAAATTTCTCATCTCCATCAGCATCCGCACATATGCTGGATGCTGATGGAGATTTTTCTAATGCGTTATTTTAAATTAAGCGTAGAATTTCTGCATGTTTTGCTACTACGAATTTAATGATAATATTGTGCATGCTCTCTTAAACAGTGTTGCCAACTCAGCAACTTTGTCGCTATATTTAGCGACTTTTCAGACCCCTCCAGTGACACTTTTTTTTAAAAAAGTGACTAGAGACAAATCTAGCGACTTTTCTGGTGTCACTGGCGGCTTTTGGAGACTCTTACATGAAAGCACGTATCGTTCCTACTCTTGTCCTCCAGCGGCAGGTGCTGCCGTGGGGGGCCTCCCCCATCCCAACCCTGTTCTCCCGCTTCCGCAGGAGTCCCTCTCAGTGGTGCAGTCAGAGCCACAGCATGTTTACCCTCAGCATCCAGACTGCAATAGAACCACACGCATGCGCCAGGATTGACGGCATAGGTTGATCCTGCTGGAGTGAGCTCCCTCAGTTGCTGAACCTGCCATGTCTTTTTGTGAGGAGGCACATTCTGAGTGTTTTTACTCAAATTGTCTCTTTCTAACAATGTAATATCTCCCACAGTTTCAATAACATGCACATCACATTATGTGGCACATTATGCAAATTAGGAACTGACATCAATACAACGACTTCTAGCGACTTATGGCACAGCCAATAGCTACTTTCCTTACTGAGGAGTTGGCAACACTGCTCTTAAAGCTCAGAGGATAAGTCGGATCACAGCAATACGGGAGGAACATCGGAGGTTGTTGGCTTTCCTTTGCGCAGGAGGTCTGGAGCGCTGTGGGGTGGAGACGGAGGATGTGGGATTTCGGGGTAACAGGAGAAGCGGCGCAAGTGAAGTCCAGACGCTGTTGTCAGACAATATGTGGTAATTTGTAAATGTTTTAAATCTGGTTGTGTCCGGATTAGCCAGCAGGTGGGTCCGGATCTGGAACGCGGTCCGCTTATCCATGACCTCTGCATTAAACTGAAGCCAAGAGTAACGAGCAGTGTTAATTTCGTCAACCATGACGATGACGAAAATATTTCGTCAACGCCCCTTTTTCCCGTGACTATGACGAGATGATAACAAAAAAATAGATTCCAGAAAATGAAAATATGACGAAAACAAAAAATGATTTTCATCAACGAGACTACAACAGACGAAGTTTACGATCCATTGACTAATGGACATTAAGAAATGTAATGTAATTGTTTATGATTGTTTATGATTAATTTGTAATTGTTAATATAAGTGTTTCTTGGGCGTCATAGAAGATTATGCGTTGTTGCGCCGTTTGTCCCTACACGGCGCCTGTCCCACAGTGCCTCGTGCCCCTCAGTCGGTAGTAGCAGAGGGCATATACTCATAGCTCAACTTCGCAGTCATTGCGGATACTGGTGTGCGGTTTGTTAAACAACGCCTGGATGTATGGAGCCAAATCAATCAACGCAAAGGAAAACACCCGAGGAAGGATGCCACCAAAGAGTCTGCAGCTTCAAATTGGCAGGGAAGAACACAGCGAAAATCAAGCGACATCTGAGGAGCCAACAGCTGACATATGGAAGACGGTAAGGAACGGGTGGGCCTGTAGTAGCGGGAACGGCTGTGTTAGTGTGTGCATGGGTGCATGCATGTAAATGTATATGTGTGTGTGCGGGTGTGCATGCATCTGGCTGTATGTGTGTGTTTCTTCCTGTGCCTGTGTCTGTCTGTTTTTCTGTCATAGAAGAAAGATGTTCTACTGATAAACTGGATATTAATTGTTTAACTTTCTTCCTCCCAACTAGATACCTGACACAGTGACACCACAGCCAAATCAGAGGTTGGGGTAGGAAGGAAAGTCTGTTGCAGAGATGCACCCCCACCCCTGACGCCAAAGAGCAGAAAGCCCTGAAGAACTCAATGGCAAAGTGGATTGGGCGTTCTGGCCTCACTGCAGGGACCATTGAGGATGAAGACTTTATGGATATGATGAAACAAGATGACAAAAGGTTTTAATGTTTACAGTGTGATATATGTTAAAAAGAGAATCATTGTGTGAAGTTCTATTCTGCACAGTGTTATATAAATAAAATAGAGAAAAAGAGAAGCAGTGTGTGGTGAAGTTTTATTCTGTACAGTGTGATATATATGTTAAAAACAAGCAGTGTGTGGAGAAGTTCTATTACTTACAGTGTTGACTAAAACTGGACTAAGACTAAAATTGATTTTCGTCATTTAGACTAAGACTAAAACTAAATTGGGAAGGCAATGGCTAAATATTACTAAGACTAAAATTGATTTTTGTCATTGTGACTAAGACTAAGACTACATTTTAAAAAGCTGACGAAATTAACACTGGTAACGAGTAACGTTTGTTTAAAAAATGTAAGGAATAAAAAGTACTGTTGTAAGGAGTAGAAGTCAGAAGTAGGAGAAAAAATAAGTATTGGAGTAAAGTATTGCTACCTAAAAAGTGTACTTAAGTACAGCAACGAAGTATTTGTACTTTGTTACTTGACACCTCTGCTTTCTATATATTGAAAAGAATAGCTTCATTTGAACCAGCATACTAATTAAATTCTATAAAATATTGGTGATTGTTTTCACATTGGTTTCATTTAGGTCATTCAATTCTCTAATAAGTGCCGTTTCAGTGCCTTGCCCAGATTTAAAGCAGGACTGAAATTTTTCTAAAATGCAATGTTCATTAAGGTCACTGTTGAGCTGTATGTGAACCAGTTTCTCCCAAACTTTGGATAAAAAGAGCAATTTAGAAATTGTAAAGTTAAGAGCAGCAGCAGCTGTTTATCAGTCACGCCACCTGCACAACAAATAGATAAGTAGGTGTTTGGGGAAAGAGGCAAACAGCTGTGTCTTTGATTAATTAGGATTCTATTATGATGGAAAACCATTAAAGAGGAAGAAATTAATCAGAAAAAAATTAAATAATAATCATACTGTCTGTATTTATTTCACAGTGTTTGAACAGTTTAAAAAGTATCTGTTATCAATTAATTTTGTTTGGGCTCTGGTTTCAGACTCTTCCCCAGTATTCAGCACTAGGAACAGAGAGCATTTCTATTTTCCACTTAATTAAAATGACATGGAGCCCGCTTTTAGATCATATTTGATTATTTCAGACATTTCTGCCAGTGACGGCTAAAACTCCCATCCCCTTTGTTTATTTATAACCTATTTATTGTTTTTATTTATGCATTTTTTCATTTTCATCACTTATATTATATTTATTTTTTCTCTATATGTCCATTAACCCCTTAAGCCTGAGCACCCCCTTTCAAGGTGCCGGGAGCTATTTTACAACAATAATAACTTGTAGCTGATTAACACTGAGACTAAGGGTCCTGTCACACTTTGCTGATTTATGCCCAATGTCCAAACGCTGGCATAAGCTGAACTTTCTATGTATTTTTTTAAATTTTGGGGATAGACATAGCGCATACATAATGAGTCCAGAACTTATCTCCAACGACAAATTATGCATAATGCACGGCAGTGTAATGCCCATTAAATGATGCACAAGCAAGTGTCCTGAGGGGGCAGCAATGCACCCGGAGGTGCATTAAAAGATATATTTGATTGCGGTATTAACCTAGCTGCTGCTTACCGCCCACCAAAAAAAAAAAAAAAGAAGAAATAAAAAGATAAAAGAAAGAGAAGGAAAGGAGGTGGGGATGAAGTCTGGAGGTGAGGCCCCTTTTACACCAAAAAGCTGCTAATACACCATTATAAGATAACAGTAGCTGGTAATTAGAAACCCGTTCATTGGTCGTCTGGAACACGTCAAATAATTTGATATGCTGTGGAGATAAGTTCTTGATAAGTTACGCATAAGTTATACACAGGGTACTCATAGGTTTTGGATTAGCTGGACACTACAACTGATGAATAACTTAAACTTAACATATATCAACTATCAGGTAACTTACCTGTAAATTATGGGCCACGTATGAGCATACGCTGGCATACGTCGGGAAATTTGAACAAACCTGTCATACTTTTTTACATCCAGATAGATTTTTATAACTTGCCTCAAAGACCTGAATTTCCAAAATACCAGAAACTTTAGAAATACTTACGTTTTTAATTGAAGCTCTTACACAAATAAATCCCCTCATCAATGGCATGTTAGTAAGCAACAACACATCCACAAAGTGCTAACCTTAATTTTATATATTATAAAAAATTCACATGTTTTATTGTTTGTATAGTGTAAAAATGTCAAACATTTTCTAAACTTAGATAAGTCCAGTTTTTATATAAAATAATAGAATGTTTTGCAAGGCTCACAGGTCTGATTTACCAATCACTAAATGTTTATATTCTCAAGCTAATGTTAGATAACATCTTTTGAAAGCATCAGAAATGTATTTCATATATATCTTATAAATACTATGTTTATTTAAATTAAAATAGCATCCCCCTTAAATTAGCATCTGCTTCATAGCAAACATACAATCATTCTGGTTTTATAAGCCATAACTCGGTAATAAGGTGTTTTTATCCTGTATGAGTTTGGTTTACACTACCTTGTCTTTCAGTTGGTCAAATAACAAATTGTTTCTATAAGTTAATGCTGATCCATTTGCTTATTTGAATTATTAAATTAAAATATTATTATTTGCATCTTTATAATAATTCTCACAAGAACTTATTGTGATAGAGTGTCCCCATTGAAATGTTTTAATAGAAAATTTATAAATCTGTAAATTGGTTTAATATTTGTTATGTAATAACCATCATTCATGTAAATAAAAATAACATGTTTGTTTTTTTAGGACCAAATGAAATCAATATTTTCCTGCTGGGAAAAACTGGTATTGGGAAGAGCAGCCTGGGAAATACCATCCTGGGAGACAGTCTGTTTAAAGGAAAAACATCTCCTACATCTGAAACAGATTTGGGCCAAGCAGAGGGAAAATACATCAATGGGGTACCTATCAAAGTGATCGACACTCCTGGCCTCTTTGGCACCACCATGGATGAAGAAACACTGAAGCGTGAGATAATACACAGTGTCAAACTGTGTGCACCCAAGATTGATGCCTTTATTATCGTGCTGAGAGTGGATCGATACTCAAAACAGGAGAAGGAAATCATCAAGAAAATAGAGCAGTTTTTCTCAAAGGAGGCTCTGAAACACGCTGTGGTTGTGTTTACGCATGGAGACCAACTGGAAGATGAGATGACAATTGAGGATTTTGTTGAAAAGGATTCTGATCTGAAAAGGCTAGTAGAGAGGTGTGGCGGCAGATGCCACGTTGTTGATAACAAATACTGGAAAGAAAAGCAGGAAGGTTACAGGAGTAACAAGTTTCAGGTGGAGCAGCTTCTCAACACAATAAAAACAATGAAAAACAGCCAGGGCTCCTACACCAATATGCTTCTTGAGTTAGTGGGGGAAGAAAAGAAAAAGGGGGGGGGCTGGGGAAACATTTTGATTATTTCAGCAGGAGTCACAGTGGGAGCATTGCTGGGAGCATTTTTAGGTGCTTTTGTGCTTACAAAACTTGTACACTCTGGATTTACTTCAGCAGCAGTAGGAGCAGTGGGTGGAGCAGTAATTGGAGGTATAACAGGAGGAGCTGTAGCTTCCACATGTGCAACACCAAAGGAAGCTGTGCTGGAAACAACTGAGCAAATTATTAAGATAGGAAGTAATTTACTAATGTTGAATGCTGTTGTCAAATAAAAGACACTTACAACTGAGATCTAGAGTCAAGATCCAGAGTACTGTAAATATTTTATCATTTTTATGTTTTAGTCATTTTTCTTCAGAAGAGCTATAGCGGCAGATGAAGAACAAACTTTAAACCAAACAAACCTTTAGAGAAATACAGTAATATCAATGTGTAATTCTCATTTTATTCTTTTTGAGGTGTTTGAATTTTTGCTTGAGTTTGATACCATGAGGCTGTTTGTCCAAGTTATTAATTAGCAGTGAAGAGTGTTTTCAGCACACGATGTTAATTAAATCTTAAATGCCTTATCTCTGATGTGATGTGGGGTAAATAAAATTATTGAGCTTTTTTCTGTTTGCTTAAACTGACCAGTTTTAAGACCTTCGCAGCTTTTGCATTAATTCACAATAAATAGAAAGCTTTGTCTGAGTCAGAACAGGACTGAGCACTTGAGGTGTGGCTGTTATGATTTTCTTGCTCTTGTCTTTGCAAATACCAAATAAAGTGCAGACTAAATGATTACCACTGATCTCCCTTTATTCAACTGATGTAGCATAGGTGAATAATGTTTTACTACAACAGGGTGCCGAAGTCTTAGGTACACTTTCATAATAGATTACTGTAACAATGTATCACTGGACTTTTATGTAGTTTATAATTTTCATCAAAATAAAATGGAAAATCCTTTTTAACTAGATTTTTTATGTTCATCTTAGCCCAACCTATTGTCTTATATCATGTTACACAACACAAAGAGAAAAAATAGTTTCCTGTTCAACAGTCATAAATAAATGCATACCGTTTCCACTGTACTTGCAGATAGCTTTTCATTTTCATATTGCTATAACCCAGTGAATGGTCTAAAGATGTAATGTAGTGTACTCTATGTCCTATGTTAGGCCATAAACCATGATGAAGTTTTGGACATTGAGAACCAATGTCCATCTTTTATTTAACATGTTCACTGGAGAAGAGGAGGCAGCTTTGCTCATAAAACTGCTGAGAACTCTCTTGAAGAGGCATAAATTTGTTACAGTGGTTCGATTGAGCTGCAATATCATTGTTAAATAAATAGATGTGTGGCATATTCTAACACACTGAACAGGAAACTGGCGTTCCCTCATTTTTCCATTCTGGGCCCTGGTATCAAAAATGATCCTTTATGTTCTTCTAAAACACCGGTTCTGTGTGGATACACAGTTTGAATAACCCAATATTTTTGCAGTGACACCTAATCTTGTCTCCATGTAGAACGGACCTGAAGGAACAGAGGTGTCAATGTTAAGAGTTTATTTACAAGGACCAGATAGATAGTGTGTTAATGCAATCCTCATATGCTCAGGTCTTCTCATCTATCAGTTCAAACTTTAGCTCATATGTAGCTTTCACCTTCAGCCTTGTCTTAGCTATAGTTCCTTTTGGTGGGAAGACATACCCAGTCTCAGACTGGTAATCTGTGTTACCAGGCATTTACCCGTTGGGCCGGTCCTAATTTCAGTGTGCGAGGGCCGGCCCTCGTTAAATCATACTGGTCCCATCAAAGTCATTTCCTTCTGGGATTATTAAAGTATCTGATTCTGATTTCCTCTCCCTCTCCAGCCGAAGCATCTGACAATAAGTAACCAATTAGTTAAAAAAGTAATACCATGTTAACTACCTAAATGATGCATGCAGTAGACATGTTCACAAGTCATTTTTTGCAGGTCCAAATCAAGTCTCAAGTCTAAAGTAGGCCTTTTGCAATAATAAATTAATCGCACAATAAATTCTAATCACATGATTAATTAAAATAAGTTTAATAATTTGCGTGCTTTCTTGTTTCTCCTTGTGTTTTCATCTCCTTCACTGAGACGGTATAGCTTAAAGGTCGCTATTATATCTATGGAATCATCATTATCTTGAACTGGTAAGTGAAAAATACAATTAAAAAAAACATGCAAAAACATTTTTCCAGGTATAATTTGCATCTTTATTTTTTCTTTCAAAAACAACTATTTTCTTACAGTATTTAACTGACATTTGTGGTTACAACTTTTTCTTGTTTTAGCAGTAAATGTCTGCTCTTTTATTTTTAAATGAAAATGAGGGCTGTGAAGAAAACCAATCACAATCCTGCCCTTTTATAAATATATATGAGGTTAGCAACTACAAGAAATAAAGAAAAACTCTAAATGAATAGCAGGGCAATAACAATTCTTCCATAAAAGAAACATTGCAGCAATACCTTTTTGTAACTTAATGCCCTGGAACACACAGAACCTAATTAAATGTCTAGGTGTCTTTCAGCGAACCAACACAGGGAAAATGTTTAGAAATCTGGTGGTGCGACTTGGCCAGTGGTGCTCAAAAAACTACTTAAAGTATAAAAGTATAAAGTAATCTTTAAAAAAAAACAGCCATAATTGAAAGCTAAATTTTTCGACTATTTCAAAAAAAAAAATTTATGATGGGGCTAAGGATGAGGGAGGTCTTGTTGGCACATCTTGGTGACGGTTGGCATATGGTGTCATTTTCTATTTCTTCAAACTGTAAAATCCTTGCAACAAACTCAATCATAATAAAACTAACTTCTTTAAACCAAACTACGATTTTCCTCTTATATTTAACGAATTTATGTTTGAATATTTTGCAAAAATCTGTTGCGGTGCATGATGGGGTTTTGCATTTGTTTATATCATTCCATTTGCCCTCTTGCCACCTAGACTGGCAGTGAATGCTTACACAGCGCTGAGCTTTCATGTATTAATTCTTGAAGAACTGCCTGTCTGCCTCCATGTTGTATTGTTTTATGTTGGTGTTTTTATAACACTCGGGCTTACGTTGTAAACCTAGTATGTGCAAGTGAACTGCATGATAGAAGTCTTGGTAATGTTTATCATGTGATGCTTGAAGATAGATTGGTTAATCCAAAATGTCGTATTGTGCTTCACATTTGAGATGCATGCATTTGACTGTGCTTCAAAATTTCAAAGTACAAAATGGAAAACTTCTGCCTCACTTCTTATCTATTCATCTGATGTCCTCCTACTGCAACCCCATCAGCCCCACGCTATTCCTCTGCTTTGCCCAATCATCGTCTGGGACTCTGCTGTTAAAGCCTCTACTTCCATGTCTGCTTCCAACAACCTGTAACTCTCCACCCCATTTCCATCATATCCTTGTTTTCATCTGGTTTCCTTCCTCCTTCGGTCTCCATTCCAGCATCAGGCCCCAAGGAAGATGTACCTATTGTAATTAATCTGCTCAAGCATGAAATCATAGTTCTCTATGGCTACATCTTCAGCAAGGGCATGAGCACCAAAGTCAATCGTCTTCATGTCAATAAAAATCCCTATTGCTGATTCTTTCCAGGTTGAAATGGCTGAAGGTATCAAAGACGTAAAAGGGGTATGACAGTGTGGGGTCCTGTCACTCTGACTGATCATGTGGCATATTACCTTTCGCCAACTACAGTAGGTGCCTGACATTCACCTGGGATTCTGGGGATCGAATCCCACTCCTGCTGTCTGTTGGTGTGTACTTTGTCACAAAGGCCTATGTCTGAATTGTGATTATTCATCTTAATCAGTTTTCACATTTATAATGGATTATAAATTAAGGATGATAAGAAGTTTAAATTACTTGATGCTATACTCTGATTACAAAGTGTTCCTTTAAGTTTTTTTTTAAGTAGTGTATTTGTTATTTTCTATTTTGGAGCAATGTAGATTTTAATGATCTGTGTGCAATACTTAATTCATAGTAGATGATGTCTAAAACCATTATTTTATTGTACATTTTGTTAGCTTGTCTGTTTGCTATATTAACCAATATGATGTGTTGAATTAGATTTGCAATTTTCACAGCTTTTGCTAGACACTTTTGGATAATAAAAAAAAATGCATTTGAATTCTATAAATAAAAGTTTTCTGCCCAACACCAAGGATGAACTTCACAGCAGCATTCTATACCCAGCAATTGTAGCATCTATGCAAGAGTTGTCAGTCTGGTAAAGAATTTTGGAAGAATTTTGTTATTCAAAATTTTTAAGGTTAACTTTTTTTTAAAGATAAAACTGACTAAAGCTAGACTAAAACCTTTTTGAGTTTTAGTCGACTAAAACTGACCAAAACTATCACATATAGTAATGACTAAAACGCGACTAAAACAAATAATAGTTTTCGCAGTGGGATTACTCAA